CAGAATAGAGTGAATACAGTACAGTACGCAACTATGCCTGCATTTAAACAGTGGTTGGTTTTACTTCATTAAGAAGGGCATCTGCAGTTTTAGCATCAGCAGCTTTAAGTTTAATTACTCTTCCCCTTGAAGTAATTGAAGGATTGGCAAGTGATAAAACTTGACTGAACAAAATATCAGTGGTTTTATCTTTTTGAAATTCATACTCAAACTTCTTCTTATTGACAAGAGGCTCAATACTAATCACTCCAGTTTCTTCATTGGTTCTGTTCACGTACCCTAGGTACCACTTTGGTTCCTGTTGATCCCAAAAGATGATATATCCTCTTACTTCAGTGAATTTTAAGGTTTGATCTTCTGCAGTAGAAATGTTTCGAACAACACCCACTGCAGCTTTTGAGTATTTTATTATTGTGACACTTGGTTCTTGTTGGCTTGGGATGACAGAATGGCTTGATTTAATTCCATCAATCTTGTAGGCTGAGTCAAAACGATTCTTTAATTCTCTTTCAACTGCAGCAACTTCCTGTGTGCTGACCCATAGAGTGCAAATTCCTTTTACATTGCTTTGGGCCCATTCAAAGAGACGACGGGCACTTGTAATTTGGCTTCCTGGCTCTTTGTGTTGTTTTGCATAATATGTGGCAAGTCTTTTGATGGTCCCACCTATACCATCACATGCTGACTTGCCATGTGATGTGGCAAAGAAATGCCACTCATTAAGAATGCCAAAGTCTTTCAGATGATACCACACATTTGCAACCATCTTATAATTTTTGTATTGGCCACTGCAGCCATCAGAAAAATAATAAATAATCTTCATATTAATTTTTTTGTTTTTTAACTCTTCCAGTAGTTTTTTTTTTTTGAAAAGCATAGAATGCAGCAGTGTTGTGGTCCATATGATCTGATATTACAGCATAGCCTTTTTGAACCTTTCCCCCCTTTAATTCATCCCAATAGGATACACTAAACGGATGAAGAGTACATTGCTTCTGTCTGAAATACATAGCTTGAGCACAGTCTTGCACAACATATGTGTAATTTTCTGCAAAATCACCCACTATTACAACCTCTCCTTCTTTTAATGTAGATAAACGTTCATTAAAGAAGGCAGACTGCTCTTTATAGATGAAGTGATGTGTCACTAAGTCTTCCATCACAGAAACAAAGTCTTCTTCAAAATCTTCTACTTTACTTATTCTTGTTATAATATTTCCCCTATCAGCAGCCTCCCACTGATTGTAGGTCAACGTTCATTAAAGAAGGCAGACTGTTCTTTATGGATGAAGTGATGTTTCACTAAGTCTTCCATCACAGAAACAAAGTCTTCTTCAAAAGCTTCTACTTTACTTATTCTTGTTATAATATTTCCCCTATCAGCAGCCTCCCACTGATTGTAGGTCACTTCCTCAACCTCTACGGCATCAAAATAGTCTTGTATGAGTTTTAGAAATAGTGATTTATCAGGGCACTTTTGACAAGTTCTGAAATAACACTCAGGGGTAGGTGGGTTGCATACAAAGAACTTTATGCAATCTGTGACTGACTGACTCTTGAGGTCTGGAATTTTGTTTAAATGTGCTCCATTGAACATGAGTGTAGGGTTTTCATGGATTGCACAAACACAAACATTATGCATACCTGATTGAGATGCAAGAC